ATTCATTGTAGTAAAAAATAAAATCTTTGTGACAAAGTGAATTACCAAAAACATAATGCTTAGCAGTGTCCTATATTTAGTTTGAAACCCAAGTTTTTCCCCTATTACAAAAATGAAAAAAATCTTAGAATGGTGAAACTTAAATAACGTAACTCATCTGAGGTTGACCATCAACATTTTCTGAAGCACCTTCTTTGACTGATCATTTACTGGAAAAGAAAAGAAACAGAATTTTATTACTTTAGTAAACACAACATGGTAAAAGTGTAGGCTATGGTCACTTTAAGAAGAAATAATTAAAAACTCTGTTCCTGGTCATGTGGTGCAACGCCGGCTGCTGGTGAAGGGCAAACGTCCGTCATACAGCACATGTGTACCCCTCATTCAACCACAAGAGGGCGCCTTGGACTACTTAGAATCAGACTTCATTGAAATGGCTCTGGTACCAGGATCGCTCACCAACCCCACCCTGTATTTTCTCAATTTGAATTGGTCGAGATTTTAATCTGTGCACCTGTGATGATATCATTTATTTATTTATTTTTTATTATTATTAATTTGATTTAGGCAAAAATGATGTTGACGCCTTATCCTTAACCTTATCAGTTCATACATAAACACGCACACTTATCTCCTTCACCAGACAGACCTCGCCATTAAAGACAGTAAATCAAACAGCTCCTCTCAAAGGGAATCCCACAGGGACAAAGGCGAGCCGGTCTCTATGACTGAACAGAAAGCATGAATGAATGAGTGTGGAAGAGAGGGGATGAGAGAACCCCCAAAGCATTATGGGTAAACGCCGTGTGCTCAGTCACTGACGCGTGATGTCAGGTTGCCAGGCAACAGGAAGAAAAGCACTCCAGCAGGGTCACTCCTGATTACAGTGTTTCTCACGTACACACACACACACACACACACACACACACACACACACATTAAGTCTTGGGTCTGTTGAAACGGAGAGTCTAGCAGTACTAGAAGGATGATTGCAGCAGTTAATCTCACCGAACATACTAAATTTAGACCCTCTCCTGTTTGGGCTGTTATTACCTCTCTTTTACATCACCTTCTCCTTCTCACAGCAGAGATCTGTTTGTGATGCCCAGAGGCGTAAATGTTCAAAAGATAATGGTTACATTGACTGTTAGCTATTTGTTATATTTGTATTATTTATTAATTATTGAATGGCACAGATATACAGACCGAAGACAAATGCTGCATATTGACAAAAAACATTTCCAAAATAAATGTCTTAGGCTTTTCAGTTACTGGCTTCCCAAAATGTGCTTTATTTTGGAAAACTACAGTGAATGTCTGCAAACTCTACTCCGCTTCAGAAGAAATCAATTCATATTGCACATTCAAGACAAAAGATAGTACACGTTTGCAAATCATAAGCATTTTCAAGTAACCCAAAAAAAAAAAAAGGATGCATTTCTCTGCTGCAATTCTCTCTCGAAATGACATTTGCGATGTAGGCCTACTTTCAGTGTGTAATAACGAATATATTAAGTTTAACTTTGGTACAAAAAATATGATCTTTATTCTTTTGGCTTTTAAAATAACGTCACCATGTAGTTGGTTAATATAGTGCATGCAGTTTACTACCACACTACGAATGAAATATGACGACCACTGATTGCTTCATGAATTTTTATGTACATTTAAAACCAGGACCTGGCCTTCACATGTAGCACTGTGCAAAAAAAATGTAAACAAAATAAATGAAGTAAAAATAAATAACAAACAAAAAAACCAATAACATGAGCTTGAAACTACTATTTACAATATAAACAATAAAGAGAATGAGAATAAAGCACATCGATGGTGGCCCCAGTACATACAGTCAAAACACACATATAGATCTCTCTCACATAAATAAGCTCTCATATTCTTTTTCTCTTTCACACTCACACCTCTCACACATCGATAACATGCATCCAAATGACAGTTTAAGTGGCGTGTAGAAGTGCTCCTCTACAGAGTTGAGATACAGCGTGCCATTATATACATACAAAATCATCACCACTAGTTCAACAGAAGAGCTCATGTCATAATCGCATTATTCAGCCGAACTCAGGCTGCTGCCCTGACACACAGACATTGAACTTCAAAACGAGGAAAATTGTTTTTCAGTAGAGATCCACTGACAGGTTGACCTGCACCTATGCACGGAATGGTTTTAGATTTTGGAATATATATATACACGTTTTTTTCTTTCTTTCCTTGTTTTTGTTCAAGATAAAAGGAGGAGGTGAGACATGTGGCTGTCTGGTACAGAGACATTCAGTAGGGTTACATTGCCGTTTCCTATCACGTTCACCAGTGAGTGTACATTCAGGCTTCCCGAAGTCTGTTAACATTACGGTAGTTTCACGGAGGGGTCAATATCTGTCTCGTCTCATATATGCCTTCATATGGGGTGTACAACTTAATAGAACATTTAGGGTTCAACAAACAGCATTTGTTGCATAATATTGATTACCACTGAAAATAATTGCAACCTGCACCTTAAATAAGCTAAAATCAATGTTAGAGTGAGGCACTTATAAAAGAAGTAAACTGTGCCAACATCTGGAGGGTTTACAGGCCAAGATGTACAGCTTTTTTGATAAAACACTTACATTTAATATTCTGTAAAAGGAAAAGGGGAAAAAACTACGAGTTGTGAAATTAAGAGTTGCCTAAATCGACATATTTGCACTATGTTTTCAATATTATTCCTGTGGATGTTGCCATTCCAGAACCATGTCGTTATGCACCTGGTATCAGGTAAAGACATAGACATTCTTCTGTCTGTCTGTTTTTGGTCATCGGAAATAATGAACAATAGGTAGAAGTTTATGTTCTTTTGAAGGCAACGGTCTGACAATCTATCGGTTTTTATACATAGACTTGGCGTGAAGAAAAAAAAACATTCAAAATATAGGATGTGGATAATATAGGATATCTTTAAGATATAAATAAATAAAAACTGGTCATGTGGTACAACAACCTAGGAAATCGCATCACCTCTCTTGGTGTCTGTGCAGATATTGTGCAAAAGTTATTGGGTTTACAGGCTTTAACAGGCATTGTCACGACAACAGAGTTGAAAGATAACAGACAAGATTAGATAAGTGATTATATTAACATTATTACACTATTAACACAAATAATCTATAATATATCATCTATAATATAACATATAATGTTACAGTTTTGTGGTTCTGTTACACATGTGGCTGTAAACAGTGTGAATTTTCAGGTTTATTTGCTTGGCCTCTTTTACTTCCATTATAAGTGCCTTATAGTAACAAAAATGTTGTCAATTGAGGTTAACATACACTGAACCCAGAACATTCATCAACGGGTTTGAGTCAAAAACATTTTGACAAATTCACTAACTGAGTTTGGCTCATTCTGCTATCAACAGTGGAAGATTGTGTTCAATTAATCCATTTCCGTGATTGTGTTCAGTAAGGCAGTGCATACATGGTCTACATCTTGATCCATAAATAATAAAAAAAAAAATCTATGTGTGAAAGTCCTGATTGGGGAAGTCGTGGCCTAATGGTTAGAGTCGGACTCGTAACCCAAAGGTTGCAAGTTCGAGTCTCAAGTCCGGCAGGAATTGTAGGTGGGGGGAGTGAATGTTTCACTTTTTCACTTTCATTAGTACAGTAGCATTCTGCTCTCAGCTTACTGAGCGATTGATTTTGTAGCACTTGGAACCTACCGGTGAATATATATATATATATATATATATATATGTGTGTGTGTGTGT